CCCCCCATCACCCTCCCCCCACCCCGCAGTGCTGCTGCTGCTGCTGATCATCCCCTGTCCTATCACTTTTCTATCTCTCTGCAGCATCCATCGATTCCCTCTGGTGGGAGTTTTAGAAGGCGACGGGGTGAAGAGGGGCTGGGAAGGGAGGGCTGGAGAGAGCGAGCGAGCAAGTGAGCGAGAGAGCGAGCAAGCGAGCGAGAGAAAGCGAGCAACCAGCCAAGGACTGCAGAGCTGGGTGGCAGGCAGAGAGTCTGCTGAGCTGGCTGTGCTGGGTGCTCCTGGAGGAGGAGGAGGAGGAGGAGGAGGAGGAGGAGGAGGCGGAGGCGGAGGCGGCAGAGGAGGCGGCCTGGGGCAAACCCCAAAACTAAGCCATGATCTTCTAGAAGAACTGCATTAAAGCCTCTCTCAGCCGGGCAAGAAATATCCTCTCCCCCCCCAAAGAGAGTAAAAAACAAAATTCACTAACGCCAAAACCAAAGCCCCAAATCCCTCTCCTTCTCCAAACCCAGCCTCTGCCAACATAACAACAACAGGATAAAAAACTGCACCCTGAAACTGCAGGAGAAGAGGGGGTGCCTAATTGAGTTAAGGGGGGAAGACATTTAAAAAGGAAAAGAGAAGAAGAAGGGGGGGTGAATCAGAAAGCACCGAGCAAGTCTTTAGATCTTGCTGCTGGCTGATTTTGAGGTTCATACCCCCCCACACCCCCCAGGTCTACCCCTAAGTGTGAGGGGACACCCCCCCATCTCCTCCTCTGCTCCTCCCTGCCCTGCTCCCCCTCCCTTCCCCTGCACCCCCCAGCCGGCAGCATGACTGTGATATCGGGGGAGAACGCAGAGGAGGCCTCGGCCACCCCGGGACACCCCCAGGATGGCAGCGGAGACCCCCGACAGGTGGACCATGAGGAGCACGAATGCTGTGAGCGTGTGGTGATCAACATCTCCGGCCTGCGCTTCGAGACGCAGCTGAAGACCTTGGCCCAGTTCCCCAACACCCTGCTGGGCAACCCCAAAAAACGCATGCGGTACTTCGACCCCCTGCGCAACGAGTACTTCTTCGATCGCAACCGGCCCAGCTTCGACGCCATCCTCTACTACTACCAGTCGGGGGGCCGCCTGCGCCGGCCCGTCAATGTCCCCCTGGATATGTTCTCCGAGGAGATCAAATTTTACGAACTGGGGGAGGAGGCGATGGAAAAGTTCCGGGAGGATGAAGGCTTCATCAAAGAAGAGGAGAGACCTCTGCCCGAAAAGGAATACCAACGCCAGGTGTGGTTGCTCTTCGAGTACCCCGAGAGTTCGGGACCAGCCAGGGTGATCGCCATCGTGTCCGTCATGGTTATCTTAATCTCCATCGTCATCTTCTGCCTGGAGACCCTCCCAGAGCTGAAGGATGACAGGGACTTCTCGGGGCCCCTGCACAGAATGGACAACACCACCGTCTACTACACCCCTAACATCTTCACCGACCCTTTCTTCATCGTAGAAACCCTGTGTATCATCTGGTTCTCCTTCGAGCTGGTGGTGCGCTTCTTCGCCTGCCCCAGCAAGACAGACTTCTTCAAGAACATCATGAACTTCATCGACATTGTGGCCATCATTCCTTACTTTATCACCTTAGGCACAGAGATAGCCGAGCAGGAAGGGAATCAGAAAGGGGAGCAGGCCACGTCGCTGGCCATCCTGAGGGTCATCCGCTTAGTCAGGGTGTTCCGCATCTTCAAGCTCTCCCGCCATTCCAAGGGGCTGCAGATCCTGGGCCAGACCCTGAAAGCTAGCATGAGGGAGCTAGGCCTGCTCATCTTCTTCCTCTTCATCGGGGTCATCCTCTTCTCTAGCGCGGTGTACTTTGCTGAGGCCGAGGAAGCTGAGTCTCATTTTTCCAGTATCCCCGACGCTTTCTGGTGGGCTGTGGTTTCTATGACCACTGTGGGATATGGTGACATGTACCCAGTGACAATTGGAGGCAAGATCGTGGGCTCCCTGTGTGCCATCGCCGGTGTGCTGACAATTGCCCTGCCTGTACCTGTCATCGTGTCCAATTTCAACTATTTCTACCACCGGGAGACCGAGGGGGAGGAACAGGCTCAATTACTCCACGTGAGTTCCCCAAACTTAGCCTCCCACAGTGACCTCAGCCGCCGCAGCTCCTCCACCTTTAGTAAGTCCGAGTACATGGAGATCGAAGAGGACTTGAACAATAGCCTGGCCCCTTATAGGCAGGACAATATCAGAACTGGCAACTGCACCCTAGCTAACCAAAACTGCGTGAATAAGAGCAAGCTGCTGACCGATGTGTAACAGCACGCACGCACATACACACACACACACACACACACACACAGAAAAGGCAAAAGTGCAAAAACAAACCATCTATCTATAAAAAAGACAAAAAAAGTCAACAACAACAACAAAACCAGTCCCCATTTAGCAGCCAGAAAGACTGAGCCTCCCCTCCCCCAACCATCAACACAACAACAACAACAACAACAACAAACCCCCTCTCGAGATACTTGGCTAAGCCTTGAATGCTCTGTTAATACCCTGTGGTATCTTTTATTTTCTTGGGAGGGGGCGGGAAGAGATGGGAAATGAGGGAGAGGAGCCCCCCTACCCCCCCCCCCCCCCCGTTCCCCAAAAAGCTTTTGAGATCCACGAGACACAAAACTATTTTCATTTCATTTTTTTTTTTTAACCTAGGGTAGAGGAAGAAAGACTATTTTCTAAACACTAGTTTCCAAGGACAGTTCTTTAGCTGAGTAGGAAAAGCAAAGCAGGGATCCTCACATTTCTAACCCTTTTGCTTCTTTCTCTCCTTTGTTTTTTTTTTTTTAACACACTTAAAGAAAACAAAACTGGATAATCATGAGAGGGTAATGAAATTAAAAGTTTCTGAACATCTAACACATTTCAATGAGCAGTGCATCAGATACCTTCATTCTATCCACAGCAATGGCAATTGGAGACGTCTCTTCTTTTTTTTTTCTTTTTTCTTTTGGTTGTTGTTGTTGTTTTGATGGACTGAAATCAGTGTATATTATAATCAAACCCCAATTACCTAAGAGGGGTTCACCCCAAGCACCTTGACCCTTCTTAAACTGGTCCTGATCTATAAGGATTTCCCCTCCCCCTCTCCCTCCTCTCAATTCTCTAAGAAACAAATAACTGAATTAATTAATTTTTTTTTAAAGATCTGCAGTACTGTTAAGCCTTCTCAATTGCAGATAAGCCAAATTCAGGGTCTTTTTTTTTTTTTCCCCTCACCCAACCTATGGTCTCACTCCTCAGCCTTCAGAACTGGACATAAAACCTTTAACCTTTACCCTTATTGCAAGAGAGATCCACAGTTCAGTGTTAAGCATGTTCAAACCTGATAACCTTTATTTTTTATTTTTAAAGAAAATCGCATGCAGAGAACCTTAAACCCAGATGCTAGAGAATAAGCTTACGTTGCAACTGAATCTTCAAAAAGAAAAAAATAATATAGAGATAGATAGATCCTCTTTTTTTTCTCTCCATTTTCATCCACAGAGAGAGTGTACCCTCCTTCATTTATGAACTATTTTATTAGGAGAAAAACAAATATAAAGTACTGTACTTAAATGCATAGGTTAGTCAGATGGGAAGAATAACTTCTTTTTTTTTATTTTGATTTTTTTTTTTAGTTTTTGGGTTTTTTTTTTTTTTTTGGAGCTCCAAGCATGTTCTCAGCATTATGGCCTATTTGAGTAAGATGTACCTTGGATTAAAACTAATGCATGATTTCAGTAATTAAAAAAAAAAGATTTAAGAAATAATTAAAATAATAAGTTGGTGGGATGAAAGACCCAAAGGACATAACGGGGGTGGGGGGGGTGGGGGTGGTGGAATCTTCCATCAGTTTTCCTGTTTTTACTCAGGGAAATGTGAGATTTCTGGACATTTTTCAGGCAGAGTCATGCTCATCCCTTAAAGAGGGACTTAGATGATCAAGGTAGCTCTCTAGTAACACCTCAGACAAGTATTCTTTCTAGATGAAATTAGACACAAGCAAAACCACCACCACCGCCACAAACAGACAACAACAACAAAAGGTGCAATATTGCATGTTTCTGGTGCATTTTAGGGTGTCAACATGATCATGTTTATCTAGCAGCATACATCTGAAGCAGAGCTAGTATCTTTTTTTTTTCCTTTCTTTCTCATGAGTTGAAGTCAGCAGATACTTCAAGCTCTTCCTTTAAGGCTACCTGGGGTGGGGTGTGGGTGGGGGAACGGGGAGGGGGAACCCAATAGTTGCTTAGTGCCTTCATTCTGTATCTACAGCGATCAGCAGAAAGTGCCTCCACTGCGTAGTTGAGGGGAGTCTTAGACGGGAAGGAAGGGTTGGGGCACAGCCATCCTGCTTTTTGTTTTTGTGTTGTTGTTGATTGCCTTTGTTTATTATTATTTTCTCCATCCTCACGTCACCCTCCCATGAGCAAAATCACACCACCCTCCACCCTGGAAGAAGAGATGGAAAGTGCTCGTTTGTTGCTTTGCTTCTCTGATCATTTCTCTGGACCTGGTCCCCCTTTGGGCAGCCTGATGATGTTGAACGTGAGACCTACCTTTTGAACTGGACACAAACCGTGCGCCACCAACAAGCCAAGAGAAACTCATTTTTTTTTTTTTTTGGAGGAAGGGGGAGAAGTTCTTCCCTCTGGGGGGACCACTGGCAAACACGCAAAGCTTGCACTATTCCAGGTGCATTTCCCTCCTGGGTCCTCACAGATGCCTGATCATCTAAGTGTTGGGGGATCCCAGGGGAGGGGAGGACACTTCTCAGGACTCCCCTCTCCTCACCCTGGCCTCAGATGGCTTTCTTAGGATGCTTCTGTCTTGATGATGGCATGGAGCCTTCAACGGGGCTCTGTAGCTGACTCTTGCAGCCCCAGTCATGGTGGGAAGGCTGTGGCCGATTGAAAGGCAAGCACAGGCCTTGGAGCCTGGGATTTGTCCCCTATCCACTCACAGAGTGGTACAGACCGGCTTGAGGGACACCAGCGTGGTGGCTCGTGATTGTGCACTTCGCATGTGGCTGTGGATTGCTGACCACCTTGCATCTGTGCTCTGGGCTTTCTTCTGGAATTTACTCTCGTTTCTCCTGTCCATTTTCCTCCTCCATCCTATCCTAAAACAACAACAACAAAAAACGACACGTACCCACAGAGTGAAATCAACCAGGAAAGTCTATGGATGGTCAAAAGACCCAGGCCAACTCGCTCCGTGGAAAGAAAGAACCACGGGTGTACTCTTTCCTTGGTGGATCTAGATGACCAAGACAACATTCACGCAAGAAGGGGAGAGGCCTTGAACTTCCCAGCCTTTGACTACGCAGACAAGGAAATCTTTCTGCGTGTCGCTTTCTGAAGCCATGCGGAATCTCCCATCTTGCTTCAAAAGTCCCCAGTTTTGGGGTTGGGGAAGGGGGAGAGACAAACCAACAGAAACAAAAATCCTAAGCAAATCCCCAAGCCAACCTCTTCTGCAACGCCCCCCCCCCCCCAGGGATCTCTTGACCCTGGATCTTTGGACTTTGGAGGTCTTAGGATGCATCAGGACTGGACAGGTTGTGTGTGCTTGCAACAGCAATAATCTTAACTCAGTACTGTGGAAAGGAAGTGTGTGTGTGGGGGGTGGAGGGCTGCCAAGGATGGATAGAGATGTTCTCCCCTTGGTATGGACACGGGCCTCTCTGGGAGTATTGCTCTGGGACTGGTTGATTCTCTTGCATGTGTTAAGAGGCATGATTCATTGCTTACAGGTGTGGTGGAATCCACCTGCCCTGGGGTGGTGGGTGGATTGGGGGGTTGGGGAGAGGGTGTTCTGGGGGAGGTGTGTGTATGGGGGGGTGGTGAATGCTGCTTCCCTAGGTGTAGTTCACTGCAAGCAATTCATGAAGAGGGCATGTGCCTAGGTATGAGGTGCTCCCCCAAAGGCTCCCCCCTTACCCCCCAAATGGACCCCAGGGGTCTTCTGTAGCAGCAGAGGTGGGCTTCACAAAGAGGCCTGTTTAGGAATCACCCTGGTTGGGTTTTGCTGCTCCCTAGCTGCTTCATGGACCAGGCTTCTTTATTTTTAATGTGTTTATAGGTTGGCCTGCCCATCCCTTTTTTGTTTTTGTTTTTTTTTAAGGCATTGAGCTTGGATGGCTCAGGGGGTCAGATCCAGGTTTTCCCTGAGGAGGAGATTTCTGATGTGTTCACAACTCTAGCTCAGACTGGATGGGGGATGTGTGTGTGTGTGTCGAAGCCCAGGGGGTTAAGAAGTGGTGAGTTTCTCCCCTGCAGTGGTCTGGCCCAGAAAGACCAAAGATAACCCCATGATTCCCTCTGTCCCCCAGAGGTCATGGCTGAGTGTGTGTGCGCGGACCCAGCCTCTGGGTCTGGATGAGCCCATGGCTCTCTCCAACCCCCCCCCCCAAATGGACACTCATTTCTTCAAAGAGAACCATGAGATGGTGTGGGAAGATGAGCTTCCATGGTAAGCAACAAAGCAGAAAGGAGACATTCCCTCCCTCCCCTGGCTGCTCCCCCCTCCCCCCCATCTTGGTTCATTTGAGAATCAGCTTTCAATGAATCAATACACAAATCAATACAGCCCTATACAGGGGAAGCCAGGGATTCCGTGCTTTCAGTTAGAAATGTGTTTTCCCGTCTATGAAGGGCCTTCTTTGAGAGTCAGTAAAAGTCGTTTGCAATCCTACTAGTTCTATACAGGAGACCTTAAAGCCCATGGTTAGGAGAAACCTTAATTTTTTGTTTAAAATTTATTTATTAAAAAACATTTTTTTTTGATGCCAGTCTTGGGGGCTTGAACTCAGGGCCTGGGTGCTGTCCCTGAGCTTTTGTGCTCAAGGCTAATGCTCTACCACTTGAACCACAGCTCCACGTCTGGCTTCCCCCCCCCCCTCTTTGTTTTGGAGTTTATTGGATCCTCGGATCTCAGTCTCCTGAGTAGCTGGGATGACAGGCGTGAGCCACACTAGCGCCCAGACTAGAAACCTTGAAATTTAACTCCTTGTTTGGTAGGTTGGATTGGAAGGCAAGGAGAAAGAGAAGACTAGCAGAAGGCAATTCTTCCAGGAATGGTTTATTTCTGGGAGTGGTGAGGATCTAGTGGGTGGTAGCCAGGCTTAGTCTACAATTGTCGGAAGATTACAAACTGCCAAACAAGCACTTCATTCTCCTCGCTTTTTACCAAGCAAAAATGAACTTTACAACGTTTCTTTAGAAAATTCATTTTGGGATCTTGCCGTTTTGTTTTGAAGAAGACAAAGAAGCCCG